GAGGAAGAGGTGCACGGCAGAGTGGGTATCTACGTGTAGACACTCACCATAAGCAGGCAGTGGCACAGACAGGACGCCTGTGACTGACTCACCACGGGCAGGAAGTGAGTCAGTGTCACAAATGCATGTGAATGACTCACCATATACAGCCAGTGGCACAGACAGGATGCCTGCCTGTGACTCACCGTATGCAGTAACGCTGGATGATATTTCCAAGCAGGGCAGAGCGCCGATAGTGGCCCCTGTGAAGCCGTACACAGAGTTGGCACTGACCTGTGATAGAGGGGCGAAGAGAAGAGAACCATTAGGGTGAAAGGGAAGGGAATGAGAGGAAGGTGGGGAAGCGGAGTTATGGCAGAGCGCCGATAGTAGCCCCTGTGAAGCCGTACACAGAGTTGGCACTCACCTGTCCGTAGGGGTAGGGACACATGGGTGAGAGAGAAGAAAGTGATAGGGGTAAAGAAAAATAAAAAATGATGAGAGAAACAGTGGAAAGGCGACGTGTATTGGAGAGGTTACGGTAAACAATAAAATGCTGATTTAACATTTGAGAAATGTATGTCAAGAAAATATAACAAAATGCTGCAAAGCTCATATGCTGGATAGCTTTCATTCTAGCTTGGGTGTCAGCTGTCATGCTATCATGACTGCCAGCTGTCACAATACGTGGGAGCAGGCTGTCATCCTACCTTGAGTGCCAGCTGTCATCCCACCTTGAGTGCCAGCTGTCATCCCACCTTGAGTGCCAGCTGTCATCCCACCTTGAGTGCCAGCTGTCATCCCACCTTGAGTGCCAGCTGTCATCCCACCTTGAGTGCCAGCTGTCGGCCGTCCAGCACGGCTTTCTCCAATGGGTCCGTGGCTTTCTGCACGAGGAGAATTCGGCCAGGCATGGAGAGGGGGACGGAGGGAAGGAGGGAAAGATGGATTAGGAGTTTTGAGATGTCTTGGAGTTCAAGCTGAAGGGCAAATAAGGGAAGGGAAAGGAGACGGGAAGGCAGATAAGGAATCACACAAGTTATTGGGTCTAGTATTCTTGATGTCGAAACTAGCCAGCTGTCGAAACTATGCATAGAAACGCCATCAAGAAAAACTCTACCCTGCTTAACTTGTTGTCGAATCATGCGTAAAAGAACCTGCCAACAGCAACAGGTATGTGACATTTTCCTGCGAGATTTATTTTTCCCTATCAGTCAACACATCACCTCGTCTTGATATCTGGCTTCGCTCTTTTCTTGCTGCCAGAAGCTCTTCCAGAATCTCCGGCAGAATACCCGTGGCTGCTGAGGGCTTCACAGCAAAGATGTGCTTTAAGGGAGCACAATACATGTGTTGAGCCATGCATCTTAGCGCATGTGCCACACACACACACCCACTGTACCTTGAGATCTGCCTTTGCCCTCTTCCTCGCAGCAAGCAACTCCTCCAGAATCTCCGGCAAAATGCCCTTAGCAGCGGATGACTTTACGAAAAGGTCCCCTGTGGGAGTCTGCGATATCTGGTCGTCTGATGGCCTCATGCCGTGCTCCTTCTGAACCTGATAGTGGGAGTGGTGGGGAGTGGTTGGGAGTGGTGGGGAGTGGTGGGGCGAGTGATGCGGCGGCTTTGGAAGTGGTGGGTGGGAGTGTCCCTGAGTGTGGGGCACCTGGGTGTGGGCGTGGGCGTGTGCATGTGTGAGAATGCATGCATGCATGCATGTGCGTCCCTTGGGTGACTGTCTCACCAGTGTGCAGTAGCAGAGGTTGTGGGCCATCATGATCGACGGGTACAGCATGTGAGAGTGTGCACATGTGTGAATGTGGGTATGCACGTGACCTTCTCCCCCAAGCCATTAACTCACCAGAGTGCAGTAGCAGAGGTTGTGGGCCATCATGATCGATGGGTACAGCGATGCAAAGTGAAGAGTGTGTATGCATGTGAGAGTAAGCACGAGACCTCTTCCCTCAAGCCACTCACCAGAGTGCAGTAGCAGAGGTTGTGCGCCATCATGATCGATGGGTACAGCGACACAAAGTCAAGAGTCGCAACAGGCCGTTCATAGAATCCCTGCTTTGGCTCCAGCATCGTCGCCCCTCGTAGGCCCCACCCTCTATTGTGTGCGTGTGACTGTGAGAATGCGTGCGCCCGAGTCTGGGCACCTGAGCGTGGGCGTGGGCGTGTGCATGTGTGAGCATGCATGTTCGTCCCTTGGGTGATGGACTCACCAGAGTGCAGTAGCAGAGGTTGTGGGCCATCATGATCGATGGGTACAGCGATGCAAAGTCAAGAGTTGCCACGGGGCGTTCATAGAATCCCTGCTTGGGCTCCAGCACCGTCGCCCCCTCATAAGTCGCATCTGCTCCTGCCCCGGCCTGAACCTTCATGTTCGGCACCAGCAACTCTCGCTGCCTCGCCTTGCGTAGGATTTGAGAGAGCACCTGGAGTGTGTGTGTGTGAGCAGGGAAAAGGGGAAAAGGAGAGCGTTCATAGGACCCCTGCTTCGGCTCCAGCACTGTCGCCCCCTCATCGGTCGCATCTGCTCCTTCCCCTCCCTGCACTTTCATGTTGGGAACTAGGAGACCCCTTTGCCTTGCCTTGCGCAGGATTCAAGAAAGCACCTGCCGTGTGCGAAACGTAAAGAAAGGACAAGAGGAAATGAGGAAGAGGAGGAGCGTTCAAAAAACCCCTGCGTCGCCTCCAGCCCGCACCGTCGCTCCCTTATGTGTGTGCAGCTCCGCGTGTGTGGGGACAAGGGCTGTGACAGGTACCCAAACCTGACGAAGTACAGAGGAATGTGCGTGGGGTAGAGAGAGTAAGCAACTTGACGCTCTGGTTTTATAGGCGCGCGCGTGGACCAAGGCGCGCGCGTGGACCAAGGCGCGCGCGTGGACCAAGGCGCGTGCGTGGACCAAGGCGCGCGCGTGGACCAAGGCGCGCGCTTGGACCAAGGCGCGCGCATGGACTAAGGCGCGCGCGTGGACGAAGTCGCACGCGTGGACCAAGTCGCGCGCGTGGACCAAGGCGCGCGCTTGGATCAAGGCGCGTGCGCGGACCAAGGCGCGCGCTTGGACCAAGGCGCGCGCGTGGACCAAGGCGCGCGCTTGGACCAAGGCGCGCGCGTGGACCAAGGCGAGCGCGTGGACCAAGGCGCGCGCTTGGACCAAGGCGCGCGCGTGGACCAAGGCGCGCACGTGGACCAAGGCGCGCGCTTGGACCAAGTCTTGGTCCAAGTGCGCCTGGTCACTTGATCCAAGTGACCAGTTGGTTCAAGTCGCGTTTTGGTCCACCTCGTGCAAGTAGAAACGAAAAGGGAACGCCTGTGACTCTCGCCATATCCACATAGTTGTAGACAGTCATCAGCTTCTCCAGCAGCCTTTGCGGTAGGTACGCGTCCTTCAGGCAGCAGAGCAGACAGTGTGTGTGTGTGTAGGGTAAATAATAAGTACCTTGCTACTTTGCCCGCCAGTAAATCGGAACACCAGTAACTCTCGCCGTCTCCACATAGTTGTAGACCATCATGAGTTTCTCCAGCAGCCGCTGCGGCAGGTGACAGGTACGAGTCTTAGAGGCAGTGGAGTGGTCTGTGTAAGTACCTTGATGCTTTGGCCGCTCGCTAGCAGGAAGGAGATCGGGACACCCGTAACTTTGGCCATCTCCACGTAGTTGTAGACCATCATGAGTTTCTCCAGCAGCCGCTGCGGCAGGTGACAGGTACGAGTCTTAACGGCAGTGGAGTGGTCTGTGTGAGTAAGTACCTTGATGCTTTGGCCGCTCGTTAGCAGGAAGGAGATCGGGACACCCGTAACTTTGGCCATCTCCACATAGTTGTAGACCATCATGAGCTTCTCCAAGAGCCCACTCAAGCATGCATCTTCCCAATTGCGCCCAACACACCTTGATACTCTGCCCGCGCGTGAGCAGAAGCGAGATAGGAACACCAGTAACCCTGGCCATCTCCACGTAGTTGTAGACCATCATGAGCTTCTCCAGGAGCCGCTGTGGCAGGTACGCGTCCTTGAGGCAGCATACGGCCAGTATGGTGGGTGGGGTGTGGCGTACCTTGATGCTTTGCCAAGCAGGAAAGAGATTGGGACACCCGTGACTCTCTGCGGCAGGTATGTGTCCTTGAGAGGCCACGTGTAGAGAGGGTGTTTTTGAGACGTCTCAAAAACACCCTCTCTACACGTGGCTATTTTCTGCGGCAGGTGCGTGTCGTTGAGAGGCAGCAGACTGTCAGCGTCATGGCAAGGGGTGTGGCGTACCTTTGAGAATTCTCAGAAGTCACACCAATATGGCAGGTGCGTGTCCTTGAGAGGCAGCAGACTGTCAGCGTCATGGCAAGGGGTGTGGCGTACCTTGATACTCTGCCCTCGAGCAAGCAGGAAAGAAATCGGAACACCAGTGACTCGCGCCATCTCCACGTAGTTGTAGACCATCATGAGCTTCTCCAGCAGCCCACCCACCCCCAACCTATTCTACCCCAAACCTTCCACTGTACCTTGATACTCTGGCCTCGAGCAAGCAGGAAAGAGATCGGGACACCCGTCACTCTCGCCATCTCCACATAATTGTAGACCATCATGAGCTTCTCCAGCAGGCGCTGCGGCAGGTAAGCGTCTTTGAGGCAGTACACGGCCAGGCGGCGCCGCGTCTGGGCATCTCCATTCTGAAGGTCTGCGATGATGGAGTGATGCACGTCCTCCTTCTGCTCTCGTGGGGGGTTTAAGCACATTACATAGAGGCACATTCGGAAGAGAGCACATGAGTTTGGGCGACTCCATTCTGAAGGTCTGCGATGATGGAGTGATGCACGTCCTCCTTCTGCTCTTGATGGTGGGAGGGGGTGTGGGGCAAGCACATTCCATACAAGCACATTCCGTACAAGCACATGGGGTGGGTGGAAGCAGATGAGTTTCCTTGAGGCAGTACACGGCCAGGCGGCGGCGCGTTTGGGCGTCTCCGTTCTGAAGGTCTGCGATGATGGAGTGATGCACGTCCTCCTTCTGCTCATTACAAGCACATTCGGTACAAGCACATGTCACATGGGGTGGAATCACATGAGTTGTCCTAGAGCAAGTAGACGGCCACGGGGCGGCGCGTTTGGGCACATTCGGTACAAGCACATGGGGTACAAGCACATGAGTTGGGGCGTCACATTCCATGAATGAAGGCAGGATCCATACATACAAGCGCAATCAGTTCAAGCACATGGGGTAGACGAAGCACATGGGGTAGACGAAGCACATGGGGTAGACGAAGGTAGACGAAGCACATGGGGTAGACGAAGCACATGGGGTAGACGAAGCACATGGGTTTCCTTAAGACAGTAGAGTGTCAGACAGTGGTGCATTTTGGGCTTGTGAGTCAACTTTTGTGAGTTGAAGGATCACTAAAGAGAGGAGACTGAGAGACTCAACCTGTTCGTTAAGGAAATGAGCGGAGACGGAGTTGAGGGAGTAGGAGCTGAGCTTGTGCTCCCTCTGAATCGCCACCAGCAGGTCAAACTGCACACGCCCGTCGAGCGTCACCTCCTTGGTTTCCCTTGTGCCGTACTGCCTGCATTGGTGAGAAGGGAGCGAAGAGGAGGAGGAATTTAATTGGTACAAGCTGGTCAGATCAAACTGTACCCGCCCATCGAGTGTCACCTCCTTGGTTTCCCGCGTGCCGTACTGCCTGGATGAGGACGATGGCGCAACAAGGAACGGGAGGGATTCTCAGTTACCAACAGGGAGGGAATCTCAGTTACCAGCCAGTCACGCAGACTACATGCGAAACATGGCGTGATCACAAAATGAACACTCAGATCAGAACATGTTTCAAATCGTGTAATAAGGTGAGCTACAGTCAGGGTCAGACCTGGATTGGAAGCGTGCATTGTGCATCTTGAGCTGGGGTGACTTGATCCTGTCTAAAGGGTTATTGAATAGTCAACAGGTACGCGTCAGGTTATTCCTGTCAGGTTCGCACCTGGATTGGAAGCGTGCATCGCGCATCTTGAGCTGGGTGTTGAGGATCCGACCAAGGAACGGGAAGGTCTTCAGATTCAGCTTCTCTGCCCTCTGTGTGAGGAGAGCATTAGAGGGGCAGCAGTAGAATTTTAGAAGATATAGCAGAAGCAGCAGAAGCAGCAGAAGTCTGTGGTTAAGAATAAATAAGCAACAGTGTTAGCAGCATTGCTTCAGGACAAGACCTGCTAATTGCTTGCACAGACCGAAATTATGCGACAACTGTATGCGACAATTCAGTAAACAATCACGACCGAGCAGCTCAGGACAACAATGAATTCTCTTAGTACATGGTGCATAGCATGCTGATGCTGTCTCGTCTCATGACACATCGCATCTCATCCTCCCTTGTGCAGAACCACCCACCTCAATCAAGTAGGGCAGATCAAACTTTTGGATGTTGTACCCGATGATCATGTCAGGGTCTGTTGCCTGGACGAGCTCCTGTGTGTTAAATAATGGGAAAAAAGGAGAGGGTGAAAGAGGGAGTGCATGAACGGGTGGCAGGAATGGGGGAGGGAGAAATGGGAGAAGAAAAGAATCTCTGAGGATGAAGAGGAGGAGGATCGATAGAAACAGGTTGAGCCCTGACTATTAAAACACGCACCTTCCAGGCAAGCAGCAGCTGTTGCTCTGTTTCATAAGCCACCACGTCGTACTCCACGATGGGCGCACACGAGTGGGTGGGTGCAGCACTACAGGGCAATGCTTTCAGTATCACACACAGACACGTACCTTCCAAGCCAGCAGCAGCTGCTGTTCGGTTTCAAACGCCACGACATCGCACCCCACAATGGGCGCACAGGAGCCGAGGGTGAGCACGGTGCGAACCAGCGGGTCGCTGCTGCCCTGCTGCGAAACTATATTGGCGATCTGAATGACCGGGTCGTGCTGCAACCGTGCTGCTGCGGCTCTGGTGGATACAGATATAGACCTCCTGAGGCAACACCCTCACTTACACTTGTTGTACCCACCTTCCATGCAAGCAGCAGCTGCTGTTCGGTTTCAAATGCCACCACATCACACCCAACAATCGGAGCACACGAGCCGAGACTGAGCACGGTGCGAACCAGCGGGTCGCTGCTGCCCTGCTGGGAAACGATATTAGCGATCTGGATGACCGGGTCGTGCTGCGGCTCTGGTGGGTGTATAGTCTATACATTATGGCCAAGCCGACCCATCCCGTAGCAAGAGTCACACCCACGTTCAGTCCACGGACCTTCCAAGCCAGCAACAACTGCTGCTCCGTCTCGAATGCCACCACATCGCACCCAACGATGGGCGCACACGAGCCGAGAGTGAGCACGGTGCGAACCAGCGGGTCGCTGCTGCCCTGCTGGGAAACGATATTAGCGATCTGAATCACCGGGTCGTGCTGCGGCTCCGGGAAGTGCCCCTTGCGCCCGCTGCACTCGATGTCAAAACTGAGGATGCGGAAGGGCGCCATTTTGGACCACTGCCCCGTGCCTTCATGGCTGCTCAGGTCTGTATAGCTGGTGGGATGGGAGAGGGAAAGGCAAGGCAGGGAGGGAGAGACGAGTGGCAGTGAGTGGACTTTGAGGGCCCTGGGAAGTGCCCCTTGCCCGCTGCACTCGATGTCAAAACTGAGAATGCTGAAGGGGGGCATGTGGGACCACTGTCCCGTGCCCTCGTGGCTGATCAGGTCTGTATAGCTGGCGGGAAGGGAGGGAAGGGAGGGAGGGAGGAGTAGAAGCAGCAGCAGAAGGAGTGTTATTGAGTGGATTCCACAGCTGAGTAATCGTTCCGAAGGAGGAGCAGCGGGAAGATCACCGGAGCAGCAGCGGAAGGAGTAGCGGGAGGAGCAGCAGGAGGGAAGATCAGATTACGTCACATTAAATCGTATTGCATCACATCACATCACATCACATCACATCACATCACATCACATCACATCACATCACATCACATCACATCACATCACATCACATCACAACACATCACGTCACTCACAGGATATCAACCTCCAGCTGGCACGCCGACAGCTTCCGCGCGTCCTCGCGCACGCGGTACGTGCCAGCTGGCAGTGAGATCCAGTTGCCGCCGGTGACGTGGCAGTCGATCATGAAGCGCAGGGCAAAGAGCACGTTGCTCTCGTAGGTGGTGGCGGGGAAGTGAAACCCGTTCCACTCGAAACCTTGTTCAAAGTATGCTGGATGCGGGGGACGACAGGGGCGAGGACAGGGGAGAGGAGAAGGGAGAGGAGAGGGGAGAGGAGAGGGGAGAGGAGAGGGGAGAGGAGAGGGGAGACAGCAGCAAGAGAACAGCATCAATCAGAATTGGCTTGGCAGTCAATCATGAATTGGCTTGGCAGTCAATCATGAATTGGCTTGGCAGTCAATCATGAATTGCATGGTTGACGGCGCAGCACTCACCTCTGCATGGAGCCACCATGGTGGGCAGAGCGAGTGTGATCTTAAGGAATGTCTTCTTATCGGGGCCTTGATAGTACAGCAGCCCCTGCGCTTTTAGCATCTCCACTCTTATCACCACCACTCCCTTCGCCTGACCCCTTTCCTGCAGTCACATGTACAGTACAGTACCATTACACATGCAGTTACATAGAGGTGCACCTCCATACAAATTGGACGCACGTAACAAGATATATGTATATACATACAGCATATAGATCTAACATGGAAACGTCAAAGCGTGTGACTATACCGAGAGTTGGGTGTGGAAGGCAGCAACATCATCGTATGTGAATTGTGATGGTGCCATCACGTAGAAGTATGGCAGAAAGCCGTGCACCATGGCGCACACGCTGTTTCCTGGAAGCATGAACGGGGATACATAAGAGGTGAGACAAACAAGGGATATAAGAGCAACCGGGAACACTATAGCAATGGAAGAATAATGCATCAATGGGGGATGGGGGGTGGCTGAGGCGGGGAGAGAGGAGAGGATAAAGCAATTATGGGAAAATAAGCCTGAGCAGTTGATAGAAGGGGAACGTACCATGTTCGTTGACGCCAAAGATGCGCAGTACAGCTGAACTCTTGTAATGAGCTTTGAAAGGTGAGTCAGATGTCAAGTAGTAGTCAATGTCAAGCTGCTGGAACACTGAGGAAATGTGGGGTTGAGAGCATGGGTAAGAGGTGAAGAAACTCAACACACTCACACTGATGCACATCAGATCCATCACGCATCTCGAAATGTGTACACTGATATCCATCATACACATTGACATTCATCATGCACGTTTGACATCCATCATACACATTGACATTCATCATGCACGTTTGACATCCATCATACACATTGACATTCATCATGCACGTTTGACATCCATCATACACATTGACATTCATCATGCACGTTTGACATCCATCATACACATTGAAATTCATCATGCACGTTTGACATCCAGCATACACATTGACATTCATCATGCACGTTTGACATCCATCATGCACTTTGACATTCATCATGCACGTTTGACATCCAGCATACACGTTGACATTCATCATGCACGTTTGACATCCAGCATACACGTTGACATAAAATCGTCATTGCAGGTATCCACACACACTGGCTGTCCGTGTGTCAGTGAATTTGTCTTATTCTGCTTATCCAACGACAAGAGTTTTCACACGGCTCTGGATCGCTCGCATCAGGAGACGGCGTCATGACTAACTTTCTCGTGGTGCTTCACCGTACGTCACCATGTTCCCAGCATTTTAATACACGCCTGTCAAATCCCCGCTACACTTATCAGCGCTGGCCTTCTCACCTATATCCGTGGCTCTAGGGTCGAAATCCGCCACCGGCTGCCGCCGCCACTTAGCTAAAAGCGGCTGAAGCCTGCCCATCTGTCCTACCCGCCGAGCCTCCTCCTTCGCCGCCTGCTCCGCTCTCCGAATCAAATCCGTCTCGTCTTCCGCCATCATGATCATCATCGCCTCGTCCTCATCCATATCCGCTCCTCCCGCGTCGCCGTCGATCGCCATGGCTTCTTCCACCTCCTCCTCTTCCTCCTCGGTCCCTAGTACCGCCATCGCCTGGCCTTCCTCCTCGTCGCGTCGCGACGCGGGAATTCCGCTGCCGCCGCCGCCGCGAGCGGGAAACGGCCGTTTCGACGAGGCTATCTGAGCGGGAGGGCCTCGAGGCCGCTTGCTTGAGTCCATGCCGATGACCGTGGGTTACTACTACTATCGACGACGAAGGTCTTGTTGGAGAGTTGGATGCTGGCAATAGGTGCAGCGGAACTTGAATTAGCCGGCGATTAGAAGCGTTCTAATCTGGAATGAGAGTGCGTTGCATTCACTAGGTCAGGAGAGCAGGCAGTCGACGTCTTGGCGGGTTATCACTTGTCAGAGGAAGCACAAGAAGCTGAGTGCTTTCTTGGAGTCTGATTTTGAATTTTGAATTTCGACCTCTTAGGCAACGGACTTGTGGGAGAGGCAACCTCGATAGAAGCGAGACAGCCCCGAGGGTCGAGATATTAGTTCAATATAGCGATGAGAAGCAGATTTATGTGCACTACTTGGGTCTACACCACAAAAGAATTTGTCAACAAACCTGGCAGCTGCGGAAGCACCCGGGCCAAGCTTATTCCGAACCAAGGTGAAAAACGCATTGAAACCCTTGTTGTACAGTGTACAGCTCGGTTGAAATGTTGCAGTACCAGTCAGGGAATTCGCGCACAGTTGATGGGTACCACGCAGGGAAGATGGGTACCACGGAGGGAAGATGGGTACCACGAAGGGGCGCGCATGATCTGACGGGTACCATCGAGCCACGTAGGTGACTTCTGACGTCAGCGGCTTCGATGTTGGTTACCCAGAAGGTAATTACCCCTCAGAAGGTAATTGCACCAATCACGCTTCATCTTATTTGTGTGAGGAGAAGTTCCTTCCCCTTGCTCAGCTTTGGGACTCAACAGATTCACCCCCCCAACACACTTAGGTCCGAAAAGCGTTCCTGCTTCCAAGGAAGCTGGAACACCACCAACCGCTGCCACCTAGGCATGGTCGTCAGGTCGCTGGCGATCCCGAGTCGCGCTGTGCGTTTAACCCCTGTGAAATAATCGAGAACAAGGTGTACATAAGTCTTATGCAGTAAGAGCATTTCAGTTTCAAGGGGTAGCTAGACCTCAGAGTTTGAACAGGCATAGCTGGAACTCGTAAATTTCAACTTTCAGAGGTGAAAAAACTGTGGTGTGTTTCAGTTTTATACCGGTGTGGTAAGTTTGGTGGCGGTTCGAGCCGGAGCAGGTCGTAACTGTATGTACCACGCCTTTTAGCTCTTATAGACGTGCTTGAGGACCTCAAGGGTATCGCCTTCTGAGACGCCTCAAAATTCGTTCGTGAACCACGCCTTAAGCTCGTATGGACGTGCTCGAGGATCCCAAGGGTCCCTCCTTTTGAAGCACCTCAAAATTTGTCTGTGAAACGCGCCTTAAGCTCTTATGGACGTGCTCGAGGACCTCAAGGGTCGTGCGAGAAAAGCGGCAGAGCAGCTTTCGCTGCTGCTCTCTCCAAACGTTTCAGCCTCTCCTGCCCACCAAGCCGCGGAAAACGACAACCAGTGCGCTGGGCCAAATCATTCCCCGGGGAACCGCGCTAGCAGCAGAAGAAGCGGAAGTAACTGCGCGAATGGCGCAGCAGCAGCAGGAGCATCAACGTCCGCTACCAGGAATGCCCGTTCGCGGAAAAAAGCGTCTGGACGGCGTCTGAATAAGGATGGGACGTATAGAAAAGGCTCGGGCGCAAGTCAATCAGGGAGGCAGGAGAAGCAGAAGCCTCCAGTGGATGATGACTCGTGGCAGCGGGAGGTAGCGGAAATAGGTCCGTTCACAACGCTAGTTCCGGGACATTTTCCGCAAGAACAGTCGCACGGTGGTGCCCGAATTCCGCAATCAACGTCATCGTCGTCGTCGTCAGCTCGTTCGCCGTCGCAATCTCCGTCGCTGGCTTCTTCCTCCCTGTCTCCCGCTTCCCCGCCTCTTAACCCTCGTCTATTCCCACCGCGCTCCGCGTCCTTTCCCCCTCTCCTTCCGCCAGCCCATTCCCCGGCTCCTTCCCCCGCAATCCCGCCGCGTTCCGCCTCTCCGCGGGGGGATTCTCCCCCTCCCGAAACGAGATCTTCTCCAGCGTCTCCCGCGGTAATTAGGTCTTTATTTGAAGCGCCGCGGAAATCTTTTCCCGGACAGGAGCTGGTTCGCGGGCAGCCGTCGCGGCACAGCCTGTTGCATAGACTAGCGTCTAGGGTTTCGCATCCGGAGGGGAGCGCTGAGGGAGTGGACGGCGAGGAGAACGAGGCAATCCCGAGGTGGGACGGTGGGTGGGAGCGACGACACGGCAGCTCTGCCGGCTGGCCGGCAGCGGACGGCAGCTCTGACGGAGGACAAGAGATCCGCGTCGATTCGGAGAATGAGAGCTCGCGATTGGTGGAGGTGGATTCGACCAATGAGAGCGTTCAGATTTTGGTGCTGAGAGGTCCGGAAGGAGGGGTGATAGGTTCGGGAGGGAATGCGAGAGGAAAGAAGGGAGCAGCGTCAGAGCAGGGGGGGAGAGATGGGGGAAGGGGAAGGGATGGTGGAGATGGTGGGGGTGGTGAAGAGACGCTGATTCAGCAATGGAGGCGGCTTCGGCAGAAGCAGCCTACACAGCAGCAAGTGCCTGAGCAGCCGCAGGCACAGTTTCATAGTGAGCAAAATAGGCGGGGCTTTGAGGAGGAAAGGCAGGCTATTTCTGTAAATAAGCGTGTTTCTCCTGTGGGCGGGCCTGTTGAAGCTGAGATGGAAAGTGCGGATGCAGATGGCCTAGGGCTCTTGCAGAAGTGTATCAGGCAGGTCTCGAGTCTATTACCGAATCAGGGCTGTAACGAGTACGAAGACTCCAGGCCCACTAGGGAGCTTGCGGTGTCATCTAGAAGCCGTTTTAGGGATTCTCTTAGCGAGGACAGAACAAGAGGCGGTCTAGAAGAGGCTGGAGTGGGTCGTACCCCCAATAGGCTGGGGTTATTTCGCATGTTGCCCATCGGCCTGGGGAGGCGGAGGGAGGGTGCAAATGCGGAGGAAGTGCAGGAGGGGATGGGCGCAGCGGAAAGACTATGGGGCAGAGGCGCAGAGGCGGAATCAGGGGAGGGGAATGGGGTGGGGATGGGGATAGGTGGGCTGAATCCGCGGTTTGGACGATCTACAGCCTCGTTCGCAAGAAGGAGAGCAGGAGGAGGAGCAGGAGGTGCAGGATTTGGAGCAGGAGGAGCAGGAGGAGGGGGATTAGGAGCGGGATTGGGAGCAGGGGCAGGGGGGAGGATATCAGTCATGCAGCTGCGTCAGATGGTAGAAGCAAATCCCGAGGCGTTTCTGCGCGCCTTTGACCACGTGGCGAAGCGGGTGGAGGCCGCGCGCAAGAGACGCACGGTTACGGTTACCAGTAAATACAACTCGCGGACGGACATCCTCCGATCGGCACTCTCGCTAGACATCCCGTCGCTGTCGCCCTTCCCATTCCTGCTCCCGTCCCTCCCTCACTTTCCCTTCTTCTCGTCCGCTTCTCCCAGCTCCTCCTCCTCCTCGCCCCCTTCCTCTTCCCCTCCCTCCTCTTCCACCTCGCCCTCCTCATCCTCCTCTCGGCCATCCTTCCCGCTGCGCATTAGAGCAGTGGCAGAGGGTCGTCCCTCCTCGCCCTTCACTCGTTTCTCCATCGCCCCGGAAATCGGTCCTCTCCGCTTGAGATGGGACCGGCCCCGCCTGGTGCCGTCCTTCGGAGCTACGCTGCATTCTGGCGACAACTCGCTCGTGCAAATCTTCCATGACCTTCAGGTGCGCTTTAGGTTGATGGTGTTACTTAGGATGAGACTGGCCCCTTTTCTTGCCCTCCTTCGGAGCAACCCTGCATTCTGGCAACAACTCACTCGTGCAAATCTTCCATGACCTTCAGGTGTGTCTAGGGGTTGATTCTTTAGGCCCTTTCGTGCCTGCTCCCGTCCGTCGGAGCTACCCTGCTTTGTGGCGACCGACAACTCCCTTGTGCAATTCTTCCATGACCTGTAGGTGTGTTGACATGGTGTTGTTGGGATGCTAGGCTTAATTCATGGCCTACCAGGCCCCACCTCGGCCATCCCTTATTCACTTTGAAGCGTGCACCTGCACATCCTGCCTCCCATCCAACAGTTCAAAACCAGAACACCCCCCATCCATGCCAGGAGCGGCCCAGCCATCGCACAGCACTCATGGTGGGGTGGGGTGGTGGGCTCGATCCATAACCTCTGTTGACATGAACTATCAGAACGCACCTGACTAATCCGAAGCTATCTCTTCCTTCCTTCCCTTCCAATTCATGCCAGGAGCGGCCCAGCCATCGTACAGCGCTCATGGTGGGGTGGTGGGCTCGATCTATGGCCTACCGGGCACTCCTCTCCCTCAAGCTGCCCGCCTGCCACGTGGTATGTGCCCGCATGTTAGCAGCCATGGCCTAGTATATGTGAACGGCAGCCATGTTCAGAACCGTGACTTACCAGCCCTTTTTTGGGGCGCCTCAAAAGCCTACTTTGTGGTTTGTTGTTCCGATCCATGTGGCTTGTTTAACCGAGCCCTCCTCTCCCTCAAGATGCTCGCCTGCCACGTTTAATGAATCTCATACCCAGCTTATTGTTTGGATGTATGGCGTACCGGACACTCCCCCGGGCACTCCTCTCCTACATGCCCGCGTGCCCACATTATACCCCTGCCCAAATGCCCACATGCTCGCATGCTCGCATGCCCAAATCCTCCTCCCGCTGCCCCTCCTCCTCGCCCTTCCCACCCCTCTGCCAGGACATGCTGTGGGTTGACTCTTCCACGGGCGAGTTCCTGATGAACCGGGTCAACGGGGTCAATGAGGTCAACGGGGTCAATGGGGTCAACTTAAGCACATTCCCATCCCCCTTACCCTACCATCAACCCTCCTGGCAGGACATGCTGTGGGTTGACTTCCCCAGGGGCGAGTTCCTCATGAACCGGGTCAACGGAGTCAACGGGGTCAACTCATGCCTTTTTCTCCCCTTTACC